CAAAGTCACGATCAAGAATAAGTATCTGTTGCCAAGAATCGATGACCTATTTGATCAGCTTCGAGGGGCACAGGTCTTTTCTAAGATTGATCTACGGTCTGGATACCATCAATTGAAAGTCAAGGCTGATGATGTTGAGAAGACAGCCTTTCGAACCCGGTACGGTCACTATGAATTTTTGGTTATGCCCTTTGGAGTTACTAACGCCCGAGCAGCCTTTATGGATTTGATGAACCGCGTTTTTAAGTCCTATTTGGATGAATTTGTGGTAGTCTTTATTGATGATATCCTTATTTATTCAAAGAATGTGGAAGCTCATGAGACCCATCTTCGCTTAATTCTTCAAACCCTTCGGGAAAGGAAATTGTATGCAAAGCTTAAGAAATGTGAATTTTGGCTATTCGAGGTGGCATTTCTGGGGCATATTATCACAAAGGAAGGAGTTTCTGTTGATCCACACAAAATTGAGGCGATTGTGAAATGGCCGACTCCTACCAATGTGACTAAAGTGCGTAGCTTTATGGGGTTAGCTGGTTATTACAGGAGATTCGTTCAAGATTTTTCTAAAATTGCTGGGCCACTTACACAATTAACTCGAAAGGGAGTTGCATTTGAATGGTCAAAAGAGCGGGAATCTGCTTTCCAGGAATTAAAGATGAAATTAACCACAGCTCCAGTTTTGGCTTTACCATCTAGCATCGAAGGGTATGTAATTTACAGTGATGCGTCCCATAAAGGATTAGGGTGTGTGCTTATGCAAGGTGGAAGGGTTATTGCCTATGCTTCACGACAGCTTAAACCCCATGAAAAGAATTATCCCACGCATGATCTTGAGCTCGCGGCGGTGGTTTTTGCTCTAAAGATATGGCGGCACTATTTGTATGGTACTACCTGTGAAGTTTACACCGACCACAAAAGCCTTAAGTACCTTTTTACCCAGAAGGAATTGAACATGCGGCAGCGTCGGTGGTTAGAGTTAATTAAAGACTATGATTTACAGATCCATTATCATCCTGGAAAGGCCAACACGGTTGCGGATGCTCTTAGTCGGAAAGATATGGGAGATTTGGCCAAGCTGTTTACGGAGCAAAGGGAATTGGTAGATGAATTGGATAAAATGAGGGTGGAATTTAAGATACCTGGACAGGAAACAGTACTAGCAGCAGTAATGGCTAGCGTCGGTGGTTAGAGTTAATTAAAGACTATGATTTACAGATCCATTATCATCCTGGTAAGGCCAACACGGTTGCAGATGCTCTTAGTCGGAAAAATATGGGAGATTTGGCCAACCTGTTTACGGAGCAAAGAGAATTAGGAAGTGAATTGAATAAAATGAGTGTGGAGTTTGAGATACATGGGCAGGAAACAGTACTAGCAGCAGTAATGGCTCAACTGACTTTACTTGAGGAAATCAAGTTACACCAAATGGAGGATGACATTTTGAAGAAGGTATGTGATGAGTTAGAGACAAACTTTAAAGAAGATATGTGATGAGTTAGGGACCAAACCAAAACCGGGATTCAGTTTGGTGGATTCAGTACTCAAATTTCAAAATCGAATATGCGTCCCCAACGTGTTGGAACTTAAACGGAAATTGATGGAAGAAGCGCACACCTCAAGGTTTTCCATGCATCCGGGAAGTACTAAAATGTACCGGGATCTGAAACAAAATTTTTGGTGGCCAAACATGAAAAAGGAAATTGCAGAATTCATCTCTAAGTGCTTGCAGTGTCAGCAAGTGAAAGCGGAGCATCAAAGACCAGCGGGATTATTACAACCCCTTCCAATCCCGGAATGGAAGTGGGAGCATTTAACCCTGGATTTCGTTGTGGGATTACCACAGACACCTCGGGGTATGAATTCTATATGGGTCATTGTCGACCGATTGACTAAGTCTGCCCACTTTCTACCAGTAAAGACTCAGTACAATGCAGATAAACTGGCGGTCATTTATGTGAATGAAATTGTAAGACTGCATGGTGTACCGGTCTCGATTATATCGGATAGGGATCCGAAGTTCGTTTCCAGATTTTGGCAAAGTTTACAAGAAGCCATGGGTACAGAATTGAAGTTCAGCACAGCTTTCCATCCTCAAACTGACGGTCAATCTGAGAGAACGATTCAAACTCTGGAAGATATGCTCCGGATGTGTGTGCTAGAGTTTCAAGAGAGTTGGGAGACCCATCTACCGCTGGTAGAGTTTGCATACAACAATAGTTACCACTCAAGTATTGCAATGGTACCCTATGAAGCTTTGTATGGAAGACCGTGTCGTTCTCCCGTATGTTGGGCTGAAGTTGGAGACAAATCCTTGCTAGGGCCTGAAATTGTTCAGTTGACAACTGAAAAAGTTAAAGTTATTCGGGAAAGATTAAAAACAGCTCAAAGTAGACAAAAAAGTTATGCGGATAACCGACGGAGAGATTTGGAATTTGAAGTGGACAGTCACGTCTTTATAAAAGTTACTCCAATGAAAGGGCATCCAAGATTCGGGAAAAGGGGGAAGTTAACGCCCCGCTACGTTGGTCCCTTTCAAATTTTGGAAAGGGTGGGTCTGGTAGCTTACCGAGTTGCCCTTCCGCCACATATGAGTCAAGTACATAATGTGTTTCATGTCTCTATGCTTCGGGGGTATCTTGCGGATCCGTCTCGTGTTATTGATTATCACCAAATTGAACTAGATGATAAGTTAACTTATGAGGAAAAACCAATCCGCATTTTGGATCGGCAAGTGAAACAATTACGAAACCGAGAAATTCCAATGGTAAAAGTGGAATGACAAGAACATTACGGAACCGACGCAACTTGGGAAAGAGAGGAGGAAATGCAACATCAGTATCCGCATTTGTTTCTACACTAAGGTAAAACAAGTTTGAGGGACCAAACTTATTTAAGGGGGGGAGAGTGTAATAACCCGACCCTCGCACATGTTCTTTGTTATATTTTCGGATCCTATTTTGGTGATTTGAATGCTTATTGTGAAATCCTATGGGAAATTTAAATTAAGTAAGTGAACCATATGATGAAGAATGTCTATCTGTTCAACAAGAAAATTATCTGTTACATGAGAATGCTTAGATCAGAAATTGGGCGCCTTAGAGGCTTAATTATGTGAAATTGATTTTACATATGTAATTAGCATAATTTTTGGGTAATATTAAGCATTTTTAGGAAATTTCAATTTCGGATGTTTAAACGATTAAATTTTTGTCCTTAGTCAACCTATACATACATATATACTTATAAAGCCCTCATTGAGTAAGACTTAGCAATTTTTCCATCATCTTCTTGGGAGAAAAGGGAAAAGGGGATGAGAGCAAGGAGGAATATATATATATCTATAAGCTTCTCATAGAGCTAAAGACTTAAGACCTACCTCATAAAATGTTCTCTGGGAGCAAAGTGTTGAGGGGAAGAACAAGGAAGCTTTGAGAGGGATTGAAGCTAAGGGCACACTCCGGGAGGAACAAGCACATCATCGCAACACAGTGAGTAGTAGTATCATTATCCGCTTTACATATGGCTAATGATTTTCATTAACATTTCGTTTACGCAACTATGTTAATGTTTCAAGTATGTTTCAAGTATGTAAAGAAAGGAATGGGAAAGATAAAATACCTTCCTTCTATAAGACTCTGGGCCTACGGCTATTCGATATAAGTTGTTATGATATAAAACAAAGTGCTACACGGAACTAAGTGCTACGACGTGAGCCACCTCTAGAATCCGTGTAAGACACCTCTTGAGTTTGTATAAGTATATTCAAGGGCTTAATGCCAAATTATCCAAGGGCGTAATGCCACTCTAATTAAGGGCTTTATGCCGCCATGTTTAAGGGCTTTGTGCCACCATGTTTAAGGGCATCATGCCACTATGTTCAAGGGCATTATGCCACCATGTTCAAGGGCTTCAAGCCATTATGATTTAAGAATGTGATATGTCAAGCTGTTATGTTCAAGACTGGGCCTAAGGCCGTTATAGGATGAATACAGAATCAGGCTAACTTTGTAATCTCTGCACTTCCATATGTATTGATATATGTCATGTTTCAAGTTGAGCATTGCTTCATTATGTATTATTATTCACTGAGCCTGGCTCACTCTCTGTTATGTCTGTTTCTGTAGGCAACCAACCAGGTGGTCAATCCTAACCTATGATGCCCGGTTCCTTTTGACAACCTTCGTGTGTCCAAGCACTCACAAGGCCACCCATTTTGTGAAGTCTACTAAGATAATTGGTGCTTTTTTCTTGGCTACCCTTCCAAGGTTGATTGTGTATAACTCCAATAGTTTTTGTTACATGCCCGACTACATGGCTGGGTCTGTTTATGTATTTGTATATATGTACTGTCAAGAAATATTTTCGGATTCTATCAACCTCTTATGGTGCATGCAATGTATGAGATCCTGGCATGTTAGAAATAGCTCAATGGGATTTGCTTAATTTTGTATTCTTGTATGTTTCTTGCTTCCGTCAAGGCCCCATATGATATATATATACCAGGTTATCTGTCTGTTTCTGAATGGGTCATGCCTGAACTTTTAGGGGCAAGTTGGGGGCGTGACAAGTGGTATCAGAGCATGAGTTGCTATCTCACACACGGGTCCATTGAGCCCTAGGGTGTCTAGAAAAGTTTTAGGCATCCTGCATGACATTCTGAAAGTATATGAAAAAGCGATGGCAACGATAAGTCTACTCTGATAATGTTAGCACTTTTGAAATATGTCTATTATGTATAAATGATTATTGTGTAGGCAATGGTGAGAACAAGGACAGAAGATATAGAAGATGTTACTTCTGCACGGCTGGATAGAATGGAGAGAATGATTATGGAAATGGCGGAGACCCTACGGCAACAACAGCAACAGCCACAACAACCACCCCCACCACCGGTACCTCCACCGGCAGTACAAGATTTCCATGCTGAAGACCAGACTATCACCCTTACTAAGGAGTTTAAAAAGGTGAAACCGCCATCCTTCAAAGGAGGAATAGAACCAATGAAAGATGAAGCATGGGTGTTGGGAATAGAGAAGCTATTTGAAGTCTTTTCCTGCACAGAAGTTCAGAACGTGCAATTGGCTGCCTTTACTCTTGAGGATGAGGCACGCAGATGGTGGATGCTTACAAGAACTGTACATCAAGGGTTGACATGGGACAGATTCTTAGAATTGTTTTATGACAAGTACTTCCCTCAAAGCATGCGGGATAAGAAGGTAACAGAGTTCGAAACTCTCAGGCAAGGGAACAAAACCATTGCGGAATACGAAGCCCAATTTGCAGAATTAGCTCGGTTTGCACCCCATATGGTGGATACGGATTATAAGAAGGCGCGCAAATTTGAAGGGGGATTACGAAGTGCTATCCTGGATAAGGTCAACATGTTGAAGCTACCTACTTACGTTGATGTGTTGGAGAGAGCCGTTATAGCAGAAGGAAATCTCGCTACTCAGAGCCGAATCTCATAATGGAAAGGGAAGAGGCAAAATACTCAATGGTCGAAGGGATCATTTACTCCACCCAACAAGAAGCAGACTTTAGGGAGTTCAAACACTTCTACCCCTAGTCAGGATTCAATGCCGACTTGTCTGGAATGTGGGAAGAAGCATCGTGGAACGTGCTATCGGAAGTCTGGAGCTTGTTTTCAGTGTGGTAAGATGGGTCATTTGATCAAGGATTGTCCTCAAAGGAATCAACAAAGTAATAATAGAACCACTACAAGTTCTGCGGGGTCTGCACCAACTTCCAACACCAAGACAACTGCTAAACCTACTAATAATAAAGACACTGCGAGACAAGGCAGGTTGTTCGCATTGGTTCCGGGAGATGTGCAAAATGCGGCAACAGTGGTGTCAGGTACATTTATCGTTCATGGTCATTTCGCTCATGTATTATTTGATTCTGGCTCCACCCACTCTTTTGTGTCGAAACTATTTGCTCCTAATTTAGATAAAACTAAAGAAAAACTGTCTTATATGTTGTGTGTATCTTCACCTTTGGGACGTCCTATGATTTATACCTCTATATATGCTGCTTGTGAACTCCAACTTGGGGATATTCGGGTGTATGCCAATCTGTTACCCCTTGATATGGCCTATTTTGATATTATTCTGGGAATGGACTGGTTAGGTGAATATAGTGCAACTATAGATTGTTTGACTAAACAAATCAGTTTCTACCCTCCGGGACAATCAGAGTCTACTTTTCAGGGACATGGAGTGACTTCTCCACCTTATTTAATTTCCGCAGCAAGGGCTTGTAAATTAATTCAGAAAGGGTGTCAGGAGTATTTATGCAGTGTTCTAGAGGGGCAAGTGGTGAATGGGAATACTAACGTGATCCCAGTTGTCTGTGAATTTCCGGATGTTTTTCCAGAAAAGTTACCAGGGCAGTTAATAGACCGTGAAATTGAGTTTACAATTGAAGTAGCACCGGGAACTCAACCCATTTCTAAGACTCCGTATAGAATGTCACCAGTTGAGATGAAGGAATTGAAAATACAGTTGCAAGATTTACTGGACAAAGGATTTATCCGTCCGAGTGTATCTCCGTGGGGTGCACCAGTTTTGTTTGTAAAGAAGAAGGATGGAACACTCCGACTTTGCATTGATTACAGAGAGCTTAACAAGGTCACAATTAAGAATAAGTATCCGTTACCAAGAATCGATGACCTATTTGATCAGCTTCAAGGGGCACAGGTATTTTCTAAGATTGATCTACGATCTGGATACCATCAATTAAAAGTCAAGGCTGAAGATGTTGAGAAGACAGCCTTTCGAACCCGGTACGGTCACTATGAATTTTTGGTCATGCCCTTTGGAGTTACTAACGCCCCAGCAGCCTTTATGGATTTGATGAACCGCGTTTTTAAGTCCTATCTGGATGAATTTGTGGTGGTCTTTATTGATGATATCCTCATTTATTCAAAGAATGTGGAAGCTCATGAAACCCATCTTCGCTTAGTTCTTCAAACCCTCAGGGAAGGAAAATTGTACGCAAAGCTTAAGAAATGTGAATTCTGGCTACTCGAGGTGGCGTTTCTGGGGCATATTATCACAAAGGAAGGAGTTTCTGGTGATCCACAACTAAAATTGTGCGAAGGCCGATTTGTGAATGGCCACTCCTACCAATGTGCTCGAAGTGCGTAGCTTTATGGGTTAGCTGGCTATTACAGGAGATTCGTCAAGATTCTAAAATTGCTGTGGACCACTTACACAATTGACTCGAAAGGGAGTTAATTTGAATGGTCATAAGAGCGGGAATCTGCTTTCCAGGAATTGAAGATGGAAATTTAACCACAGCTCCAGTTTTGGCTTTACCGTCTGGCACCGAAGGGTTTGTAATTTACAGTGATGCGTCCCATAAAGGATTAGGGTGTGTGCTTATGCAAGGTGGAAGGGTCATTGCCTATGCTTCACGACAGCTTAAACCCCATGAAAAGAATTATCCCACGCATGATCTTGAGCTTGCGGCGGTGGTTTTTGCCCTAAAGATATGGCGGGACTATTTGTATGGTACTACCTGTGAAGTTTACACCGACCACAAAAGCCTTAAGTACCTTTTTACCCAGAAGGAATTGAACATGCGACAGCGTCGGTGGTTAGAGTTAATTAAAGACTATGATTTACAGATCCATTATCATCCTGGTAAGGCCAACACGGTTGCAGATGCTCTTAGTCGGAAAAATATGGGAGATTTGGCCAACCTGTTTACGGAGCAAAGGGAATTGGTAAATGAATTGGATAAAATGAGGGTGGAATTCAAGATACCAGGACAGGAAACAGTACTGGCAGCAGTAATGGCTCAACCGACTTTGCTTGAAGATATTAAGTCACATCAAATGGAGGATGACGTTCTAAAGAAGGTATGTGATGAATTGGAGACCAAGCCACACTCGGGGTTCAGTTTAGTGGATTCGGTACTCAAATTTCAAAATTGAGTATGTGTCCCTAATGTGTTGGAACTTAAACGGAAATTGATGGAAGAAGCGCACACCTCAAGGTTTTCCATGCATCCGAGAAGTACTAAAATGTACCGGGATCTTAAACAAAATTTTTGGTGGCCAAACATGAAAAAAGGAAATTGTAGAATTCGTCTCTAAGTGCTTGCAGTGTCAGCAAGTGAAAGCGGAGCATCAAAGACCAGCGGGATTATTACAACCCCTTCCAATCCCGGAATGGAAGTGGGAGCATTTAACCATGGATTTCGTTGTGGGATTACCACGGACACCTCGGCGTATGAATTTTATATGGGTCATTGTCGACCGATTAACTAAGTCTGTCCACTTTCTGCCAGTGAAGACTCAGTACAATGCAGATAAACTGGCGGTCCTTTATGTGAATGAAATTGTAAGACGGCATGGTGTACCGGTCTCAATTGTATCGGATAGGGATCCAAAGTTCGTTTCCGGATTCTGGAAAAGTTTACAAGAAGCCATGGGTACAGAATTAAAATTCAGCACGGCTTTCCATCCTCAAACTGACGGTCAATCCGAGAGAACAATACAAACTCTGGAAGATATGCTCCGGATGTGTGTGCTAGAGTTTCAAGAAAGTTGGGAAACCCATTTACCACTGGTAGAGTTCGCATACAACAATAGTTAACACTCAAGTATTGCAATGGCACCCTATGAAGCTTTGTATGGAAGACCGTGTCGTTCTCCCGTATGTTGGGCTGAAGTTGGAGATAAATCCTTGCTAGGGCCTGAAATTGTTCAGCTGACAACTGAAAAAGTTAAAATTATTCGGGAAAGATTAAAAACGGCTCAAAGTAGACAAAAAGGTTATGCGGATAACCGACGGAGAGATTTGGAATTCGAAGTGGGCAGTCACGTCTTTATAAAAGTTACTCCGATGAAAGGCCATCCAAGATTCGGGAAAAGGGGTAAGTTAACGCCCTGCTACGTTGGTCCCTTTCAAATTCTAGAAAGGGTGGGTCTGGTAGCTTATCGGGCTGCCCTTCCGCCACATATGAGCCAAGTACATAATGTGTTTCATGTCTCTATGCTTCGGAGGTACCTTGAGGATCCGTCTCATGTTATTGATTATCACCAGATTGAACTAGATGATAAGTTAAGTTATGAGGAGAAACCAATTCGCATTTTAGATCGGCAAGTGAAACAGTTAAGAAACCGAGAAATCCCTATGGTAAAAGTGGAATGGCAAGAACATTACGGAACTGACGCAACTTGGGAAAGAGAAGAGGAAATGCAACATCAGTATCCACATCTGTTTCTACCCTAAGGTAAAACAAGTTTGGAGGACCAAACTTATTTAAGGGGGCGAGAGTGTAATAACCCGACCCTCGTACATGTTCTTTGTTATATTTTCGGATCCTATTTTGTGATTTTGAATGCTTATTGTAGAATCCTATGGGAAATCTAAATTAAGTAAGTAAACCATATGATTAAAGATGTCTATCTGTTCAATAAGAAAAGTATCTGTTACATGAGAATGCTTAGATCAGAAATTGGAAGCCTTAGATGCTTAATTATCTGGAGTTGATTTCACATATATAATCAGCATAATTTTTAAGTAATATTAAGCACTTCTGTGAAATTTCAATTTGGGGATGCTTAAACGATTCATTTTTGTCCCTATTCAAGTTTTCTATGTATATGTATATATGTTTATAAGTCTTATGACTCATAAGATTTGGGAATCACATTTCTCCTAAGGGAAGGTGAGGAGTGAGAGAAATTGAAGGGTAGAGGAAGGAGATCATCAAAGGTTGGGAAATTGTGGAAGATTAAGCACAAGGTATGTATAAGACTGTCCCTTACCGGTTTACTCGCCCGTTGACTCGCACACATGTCAGACCCCTTGGTCCGTGTTTCAAGACGGGCCGAATGGGGAGCTAGCAGGCCGGCGCCGGGAGCGCGCAGATGCCGGAGCACGCCCGAGGGCGCGCGCTGCCAGCCACGATCGGGGCGAAGGCGTCTCCGCGGGCTTTTCGACTGCCCGGGCTTTGGCCTCCGCCCCGATCCGCACCGGTCCACGCCCCGAGTCGATCGGCGGACCGGCTGGACGCCGTTCCACATCCGACCGGGGCGCATCGCCAGCCCCCATCCGCTTCCCCCCCGACAATTTCAAGCACTCTTTGACTCTCTTTTCAAAGTCCTTTTCATCTTTCCCTCACGGTACTTGTTTGCTATCGGTCTCTCGCCCGTATTTAGCCTTGGACGGAATTTACCGCCCGATTAGGGCTGCATTCCCAAACAACCCGACTCGCGGACAGCGCCCCGTGGTGCGACAGGGTCCGGGCACGACGGGGCTCTCACCCTCCCCGGCGCCCCTTTCCAGGGGACTTGGCCCCGGTCCGCCGCTGAGGACGCTTCTCCAGACTACAATTCGAACGACGGGGTCGCTCGATTTTCAAGCTGGGCGCTTCCCGGTTCGCTCGCCGTTACTAGGGGAATCCTTGTAAGTTTCTTTTCCTCCGCTTATTGATATGCTTAAACTCAGCGGGT